TCAGAAATAGACCAAACTCAGTGACAAGGAGGCTTCTCGTGCAGTAATAGAGGGGTTGCATATTAGCAGAACTTTCTGGAAGGAAAAGCAGTAATATCGACAAAATGTAAAATATGTGGATACTTGAACCCACTAATTCTTCTTCTAGGAATTTATTCCAAGGAAATAATTAGACTAGTGCTCCAAAGTTTACATACCCCCCAAAAAATGTTATTTACAGGATTATTAATAATACCAAATATTTAGAAACAACCTAAATATCCACAAAAGGATACTATTTAAATAGATCATGGGTAACTAAACAACAGAGCCCTATTAGGCTACTTGAAAGGATGGTATGAATCTACACGCCATAATGTGGACTTTCTCCACATGATTCAGTACAGAAAGCCTTTCTGTGAACTCGCATGTGTGTGCAACGTGCACGTGCGAGTGCTGCACAGCGAGATGTCTAATGAGCATCACCAAATCCTTGGTGCACGGTGGCTCTTTCTGGGTGGTGAGATTTCAGGTGATTTTTTTCCTGCCATTTTTTGTTTATCTACATTATTTGAATTTTTACAATGAACATATAATAACTTTAAAAACAGAAAACTGGGGCCGGCCCGTGGCGCAAGCGGTTAAGTGCGGGTGCTCCGCTCAGGCAGCCCAGGGTTCGCTGGTTCAGATCTCGGGCACACACTGACGCACCGCTTGTCAAGCCATGCTGTGGCAGCATCCCATATAAAGTGGAGGAAGATGGGCACGGATGTTAGCCCAAGGCCAGTCTCCCTCAGCAAAAAGAGGAGGATTGGCAGATGTTAGCTCAGGGCTGATCTTCCTCACAAAAAAATAAAAAATAAAAACAGAAAACCAACTGTTTATAAGATCAAAAGAAAACATCTCAAGGGTATATAAATTTCTTGGAAAAAAAAGAAGGGCTAAGACCAGAATAATGGCTAACTTTTAGAAGAAAAACAGGGAGGGACTCTGAAACTTGCCTGCCAGCCTTTCACAAAAGGTCCTTTCCCAGACCTGGATAAGGAGGAAGGTCCAGTGGTTAGGAGCCTGTGCTCCACGGTCAGTTCTCGGGTTCAAATGTCAGCTGTATCACTTACCAGGTCAATATAAAATGAGGAGCTGCTAGCACCTGCCTCTAAGATCGTCATGAGGATAAAAGAAGAGAGTAAATAAAAATACCTATCACAATGCTGGGCTCACATTCAGTGTTCACTAAACATCAGCTCTTACGAAAACCAGCTTTAGACAATTGTAGTCTACGTGAGTTAACTCTCCCAGAATGAAGCCCTAACGAACAGTTAAGGAGAAGGAGAATGTAGAGGACAATTAGGAAAAGATGTCCACAGAAATAGACATATAAATCTCTAGGCTCTGGAGCACAGGAGTTAAGGGTATGGGCTAGGTGTTTTCAGGCATGTGACTGAACCTCACAAGTCTTAATTGTTCATTCTGCAAAACATATGCTGACGACCATTTTAAGGATTAAACGCCAAGTGCTAGCACAGTGCTTGGTAATAGTAAGTTTTCAATAAACATTTGCTACTATTAATAAAATAATAATTAAATAAAAATAGTTATTGGCTAAAATTAGGTAGTGAGCTCCTTGTCACTACAGGTATCCAGGCAGGCTTACTTGTTACTTGAAGAGGATGAGGCAGAGAGGACTTAATCATGGGACGAGGAGACGAACTACTGTATTCTTCCAGACCTAAAAATTCTGTGCAGTCATTGAAACATGAAACTGATTTTAAAAGTGGGGCTGTTTGGAATTGTTGTGCAGAGTCACCAGGGGACCCATCAGCAGCGGGGCCATCTCCCCAAAGAGTTATAGGATGATGCCATTCCCAGAGGCCAGCCCTGCTTTTCAGACAGATGAGGCAAGTGCAAAGTGGTTCCCTGAAACTCTGCCCATTCTCTGTCCCAAGAGTGGCGGTACCAGCTCTGGAAAAGCGGCAGATAGTTGTCCTTCCACACACTCTCTGGCATTCACAACAAGGTGATGACAACAGTATTAGCAGCAATAGCACAGCCATATGATCACTTCCTGCATGTTGAGCTCTGTGCTGAGAGCTTTGCATACACTGTCTCACTGACTTCTGGCCTCAGACCCACGCATCTGTGAGTGTCTATGCTGAGTGTCTATGCTGAGTGTCACTGCATTTTATAGACAAAAAACTGAGGCTCAGAGAGAACAGGGGTTGCCCCAAACCCTTCAGCCAGTAAGGAACAGGGGTTTGAACCCAGGTCTAAGGTACACTGGGAATGTGAGGAATAGTTGCAGGGCCTCGACAAGTTGACAGCTCATTAGCATTATAGAAGATCCTATTCTCTTTCAGGACCTGCCACTCAACCCTAGCCCCACTGAGTTAGTTGGTCCCTCTCAAGGCAGCTGGGAGCAGGCAAAGCTGGAATTGCCATGGGCATTATCTAGAAATTCCTTGGGAAAGTGAAAGACTGAGGAACAAGGCTCAGGCTGCACCCACAAGTGGGTATCCCAGACAGCAGGATGGAGAATGTTTGGGGAGAAAAGCACCCATGCTTAGAGAAGCCAGAAGTTTTAATCAGTGCAATAAGGCTGGGCACCGCAGACGGAACACTCTCTCAAAGATACCCACTTACTTGTGGACTATTTTATCATTTCATTTTCTTTTAAAATCCTTTTGTCAACCCAGGCAGGCCTCAAACTCGCTTCATCCCAGTGTGATCCCTCGGACTTGCAGCAAAGAGGTTCACTCTGCCATGGCAAGGCCAGGGGACAGTCCCCTGCATCTCTCCAGACCGGCAGTGGTCTTCAAACTCCGTTTTCAAATCACTATCACCTGCCTTGCACACCGGGCAGACCCCAAGGGGACAAAGTCATAACCTCACAGTAGGAACCCGGACTTTGGAATCACAGAGACCTGGGTCCACATCTCAGCTCCTCCACTGAGTACCTACCCTCTCTGAGCCTCAGTTTCCTCATCAGGCCAGTAGGGATCCTGATAGCTCATAGGTTTGTTGTAGGGATTAAATGAGATAATGCAATGTCGGAAAGGCAATGGGGTGTAGACCTTAAGAGCACAGGCTGTGGTGCCGGACTGTTTAAGTGCAGACTCTGCCTCCATCACTAGCTGTGTGTCCTTGTGCAAGTTACTTAACTTTTCCGAGGCTCAGCTTCTTCAACTGTAAATTGGAAATAATGATAATATCCTCCTCTAAAGAGTAGAGAATGAGTGAGTTATGGCTTGGGAAGTGCTTAGAACAGCACCTGGCACATTAGTGGGTACTCAGTAAATGAAAGTTGTTGTGATTAATGCATGTAAAGTCCTCAGCATGGTAAAAATAAGTGTTCAATAAACGGTAACTGTTATTATTACAAGGTATACTTTCCATGGAGAATTTTATGCATATTTATCTCCTGGAAAGCAATCAAAAACTGGAAACATTAGGGGAAAATCTTGTCCTCAAGTAAATGTTTCAGTCATGGTAGAAAGAACTCACCGTGCCGCTGCCCTGGCAGGATACCCTAGGCCCCCGAGCCCAGGCTCCCCTTTACTTCCAAAGGCCCTTCATTCAGATATCCACTCTTTCAACAAACGCTTCTTAAACACCCACAGTGAGCCTACAGGAGGGCTGGGAATACCCAAGCAGTGAATACGATGGCTCCGGCCCCTCCATCCTGGAGCTTACAGTGTAGTGGGGAAGATGCACACTAAATAAAGGCATGCCAAAACAATCATGTCAGGATAGCTGCAACTGGTGTCACGAAGGATGTGATGAAAAGGTATATGAGGGGAGTCCTGATGTGGTCTAGCATTGGAGGTGTATACGATGGAGGAGTCATTGGAAAGCCTCTCTGAGAAAGTGACGTTTAAGCTGGGACTTCATGGTTGAATAGGAGTTGGCTGGGTGATGCCTGGGAGTGGGAGGAGGAAACGATCCAGGCAGAAAGGCATTTAGTTCCGAGGCCCTGCAGCCACAAGGTGGCTGGCTCACCAGGGGAACAGAAAGACGGGCAGTGTGGTTAACTTATTCCTAGACAATCCACTCCAGAGCACTCAGCTGGGAGTTGGAATTTGGAGAGAAACCCAGGTCCACAGGAACTGCATTCTCAGTTGCAACTGTTGTCTCTTCCCTTTCAGATCTCCTTGCCTGCTGGCAAGACTGCCAGGTCTCAGACCCCGAACCCTGGGGCCAAGTGAACACTGTTCTTGGCTCAGATTCCCTGAGGCTGTAGCTGCGGCTCACTTCGCCCACACGTGACTTCAGCCCAGACACCACAACGGGGACTCTGCCCTCTGCATGCCCTCAGATGCCTCAGTCCTGTCCTGGTCACACCCAGTGGGTTTTGTGAGGCTATTTAGGAAGATAAGTTTCCCTCACTGAAGAAAAGGGAAACAGCATGAAAGAAAACAATGGCTTCAAAGGAGGAATTTGTGATTGACATGAATGGGGATGTTTCCTTAGGAGCATCATGTATCATCAAAGAAACAAACCCCCAGGTCATTTATTTCTCTGCCTGTTTACATGCTATAGAAAGAAGATGTGTTTAAGTTTCCTGTAGTTTTACATTGGAAATTGAGGCTTGGGGAACGGAAGCCGTATGTTCCAGACGTAGCAGGTTTCTTTTGGAATTCACACATTGGGAATCTGGCACTATCCCCTAAATGGTACTTTTGTTGTCTTTTTGTTCAAGACAGCAAGTTTCTTCCAGGATCAGAACCGCCTGCCGGCCTCCCTTGATAAACAGCCTACCAGCTCTCTTGGTAGATCAGATATTTAATAATTAGCCTAACTATTGTTTATCTAAGTGGCAATTATCACTGGGATGAAATAATATTTTAACTGCAGGGGAAGCATTACAGATTGCTCCCAAGTAGAAACTACAGGCTGGGAATGGCCGACAGAGCTTCTCATACTCAGAGGAGAGGACCACTCCATCTTGGCTGGCAGATCTCTGTGTCTGAGAAGCCATCATTAGATGCTGCACCAATGACCTAAGGAAATGTGCCCAGGAGAAGTGTATGGTCCCAGGCCTTTCAACTGAGGCTCAATGGCCCAGCAAAATATGAAAGTGCGACCTGTGCTTCTAAAGCGTAATAGTCTTGAGTCGGTGGAGTTTGTGAAGCAACCTCACCACCGCAGGAGCAAATCTCAGCAGGTGCGATTTAAGGAAGATGGGACCAGTAAGACTCCATCTCACCTAACTGAGGTTGATGTCCAAACTTCCAAAGAACCGACTTTAATGGGTAAGACTCAAGCACCCAGGCACCATCATCTCCCCACATACTCACTCTCCTTCCCCAGGTCTCAGAAGGCAGAGGGCTTTCGGAACATCGCGATCCAAACTTCCCCTAGTCTCAGGAAGCATTTCCCAGTTTTCAAAAGGAAGAGACTCACAGCCAGCAAGTCCCTGGTGGAAATGCCATCAGCATCCCAAAGTGCCATCCAGGTCAACGGCAACCTCTCTGAACAGGACATTGTGTCTTCTGACCTTGCCTACTTAAGGCTGGCTCAGCATCTTGAGGATGGGCCTCAAAGGGTCAAAGTGTCCCACCCATTTCTCCCTAGAAAGTCAAAGGTGCAAAGCAATGGGCCTGTTAGCATATGCTTGGCAGAAGGGAGTTGGAAGCCCTCAGAAAAAGCAACAGCTGCCATTCAGGTCCCAGACGATATTTATCACAGTCCTACCTGGGCAGCTAGAGAATCCACTTTCAGCCCAGACAGGTCTGCTGAAATAAGCAACTCCATACACGCTTTGGTTGACATGTGTGCAGTTGATGGGAGAACAGTGCCACCATCAGATTCAGAAAGATCCCCCTCCTGCTTAAATGCCACCAGCAGTGCCAACCACATGCCAGGCACAGGAAAACTTAAACCGGAATTGCTTTTGCCCAAAGACAACTCTGATGACAAAGACTTTGGCCCACTGTCATCTCAGTCAAAGGAAACATATGTTCCTTCACCTCCACGGACTCACAGCTCCCCCTTGCCAGGCTGCCACAGCCAGCCAGCCCATCCAGGAGGGGCTTCAGACTGTCTGTCATCGAGTAACAATCACCAGGATCTGCTGTCACTCAAACCTAACAGTGCATCAAAATCTGCCCCTGTGTGTCAAGAGCAGACAGCGAAGAACCCCACCCAGTCAGACAACCCGGAGTTTCAAAATTGTCCAGAAAGCGACCACCTCCCACCCTCTCTTCTGAGGAGGGAGACCAAACTTCAGAGCAACAGGGACACGGGTGGGATTAGTCAGATTCACCTGGCACAGGGGGAACTCTGCGACCTCCAAGGCAGGCTGCAATCTGTGGAGGAATCTCTACACTCAAACCAAGAGAAAATTAAAGTCCTTTTGAATGTAATTCAAGACTTGGAGAAAGCTCACGCTCTCACAGAAGGGTAAGGTGAATTTTTTTATATTAAAAACTACCAGGTTAAGTCATTTGCCAGGACAGGGGCAGAGAGAGAGCTCTGGTTTCCCTTAGTAAAATGTCTCCAAAATGTCTGGGGTTCTGTTATTTCCCCAAATCATAAGCAATGGCCTCCCTTTGTTCTGACTGGGTTTCATTCAATTCTAGGCTTTGGTGGATTTCCATTGTCATTTGTTTTTGTTTCCAGGTATTGACAGACTGGAGAAAGGGGGCAATGAAGCAGCAAGGTCAAAAATGGTTTTTATTAAGATGGGGATCCAACTGATAAATGATGGGGGAAAACGATAGTATGCAGGTACTTCCCCCATCCTATCCTCATAGCAAATTACTGCATTTGCACAGTATTTTAGTTTTTTGCGTGTTTGTCACAAAGGACTTGAGGTGGCCACTAAGCTTACTGTTGACCTTCCCCTCCACTGACCACTTTGATAGCTTGGGCCAAAGTCCATTGCTGACCAACTGACCAATTAAGTAGGAACTGAAATGAGATCACAATTCTGCAGAGAGAAAAAAGTCACAAAATGCTTTTCTGAGTGACTCAGCACCTGTCTGGGGAGGGGAAGGCAGTTATTGTTCAGATGTGGAATGTTAATCCCTAGAAAAAGTGCTCCCAGAAGACTGAGAAGAAGGAAGGGCAGAAGATAATCAACAGAAGGGGAGCAGAGGGAAGATGTAATTAACTGACATTTGCTGATATGAATCAGAATCAACGTTGCCTTATAAGAGAGAAGCACTGTGATGAACAGAGAGAAATGCACTGAACTAAGGGGTCGGGAGTTTTAATAACCTCCCTTCTACCCATTTGCAAAGTCCCTCAGTTTCCCCATCTATCACGCGGGAGTAAGAATAACTGACTCATCTCACAGGATTGCTGTCAGCATGAAAAAACCTCGGATTTGAAAGGGCTTCGACATTTATAAAGCCCTCGAGAAATGTGAGATCCTGTTATCATGGGTTTCTTGTTTTTTAATTTGCTACCAATGAGAAGGGGAATGCTGTGTTGTAGGGAACGAGTCAGCAGAATGCATGTGTCCCATGGGGCTTCTGCCCATAGATTTACCCAGCAAATGCTCTGTCTTGCAGGCGCAACTTTTACCGAACTGGCCAGGATCTCAACAATTGCAGTACCTGCCAGAACACAGCGTGCATCATATACAGGTACCTGCCACACTGAGGCCTGCTCTGTAGAGCACGGGAGCTCAGGGTCCACAGAGCACTCGCATAAACTCTCTTAGACGCACAAAGTCAAGCGAGAGGCAAAGACAGGAGGCCTTTGATTACCTGAGACTTAAAAAACAAGGTGTTGCAGGCCTTGCTTTGTTTCTTTACAATAAGGTCTATGAGCAAATCCTTTTGAGATAATCACCCTACACTTACAGAACAAGAAGTCCAGGCACTGTGCTAAGCTCTGCATGCACATCTGCATCTCATTCCACAATTATACCTCAAGGTAGGTGTTACTGTCCTCAGGGAAGTTAAGTCATTTGGCCCAACTCATATAAAGCATTTTCAGAAAGCAGAAGTGGCCAGACTTAGGCCTTAAGTTCAGACCTTTCTGATCCCAAACCTTGTGATCTTCATTACTCTACCACACTGCCTCTTCTTCAACTGTAGCTCTCACAGGCCAAGCTCTTACTATGTGTCTAGAACCGTGCTGAATACTTTGTGTTCATTTCTAAGTACATCATTTCCTTCCAGCAGGGGGTAAGGATGCTGCAATAAAGTGGATTTTTATAAGTAATAGAAGGAAAACATCATAGAGTGGTGAGAGCACTAAACTTGGAGTTGAAATCCCCAATCTGACGTCTGCTCACTTGTTTGGGCTCAGTTTCCTCATCTGTAGAGCAGAGACATTTAACCCAACTCAGAGTTGCCATCAGGAGCAAATGAGATAATATATGTGAATGTCTTTTGTAACTGCAAACCTCGGAACAAATCTAAGGGCTTATTACTGTTATTACCAGAAAGATCAATGCCTCCCTCGCTGGAAGTCCACTTTCAGTGGCGCGGTGAAAAAGCGGTGCAAGGCAGTCATTTCAGTTTGATGGCATCTAATTTTGTGTGACAAACGTGTATGGTTTTGCTTTCTCCATTACTTTCTTCTCTCAGATGAGAAAGGCAGAGAGGGCCTCAGCAAACTGAAGCCCAATTGGGTTGCCTGGGTCTTCTTTTAAAAACTTCTCATTCTCTCCAGCAGAATCCTGAGATTTCATCCTAACAAGTAACGGGGCCTGGAAGTCAGGAGGCCCCTACACTTAGGCAGAGCCTTGGGCATGTTCTCACTGACTCTCACACCTTACACTAAGGAGCTACAGGACCACATGTTCTCACCAAATAAGAGAAGTGTCAGGACCGCTCACAGAAAATGCCATTTACCACAGTGCAAAATATCCCCTCGAAACGGGGGCCCTGGAAGGGCTTGTGGCATTGGAGGTCTAAGCAGGCAGTCTCATCAATGGCTATCTTTTTGCTGCTTCGTTGTTTACATCTCCTATCTTAAGCAAATTTCCTAATCACTAAGAGGACAAAAATTATTAAATGTCTAGATAGCTAGGGAGGACAAAAACTATTCATCATAAACATGAATTATTTTTAACTAACCTCCACTTAAATTTTGGATAATCTCTCTTTTCTTCAGCAGCCAGATGATGTATTTTCTATTACCTCAAGATGACTTTTTATTTAGCTTATGTAAGTGAAAAGGACAAGCGGTTATTTCCCAGGCTACTGTGAGTTTCAGGGCCTGGCCTTGGGCAAATCATTTTTGGTGTCTGAGTTTCCTCATCTGAAAAATGAGGGCCTTTAATTAGATAGTCCCGATGGTCCCTTTCGCTTCTGACATTTTGATGTTCCGAGCTGAATTAAAAGGGGCAATATTTGGCTAAACTATGACCTTGCAAGAAGTCTGAGAATGTTTGCATTTTTCTAGTACTCACTTCAAACATCCCAAGCAAACATTCTAAATTAAGTTATACCCCTGGACGGGTCAGTAAACCTTCACGTACACATCGCTTTCCAGTTCTCCAAGAAGAAAAGCCATTGTACTCATCGATCCCTTATTACCATTCAAAGTCAGACTGTTCTCTCAGACAGTATTTACACCCTTGTAGCTAAGCCATTGCAAAGGAACGGGCAATTAATTTGATGAAAGCAAAAAGATCAGAACAATATCTCTGTCATAGTAACAGTGGGAAGATGAGAGTTGTCATTTTTTTTTTTAACATTTCAAATGACTTCAAACCCTGTGTTGTGTCCTGGAAAGTCAAATCTTACAAACTAATGAATAAATGATGTGAAATACTCATCCTCAGGCCTTGGTAAGCTGCAGCCTCTCTCCCTGATGATGGAGGGGCCCAGTGCACATCACTATATATAAAGACAGGGGCATGTGATTGACTGCCTGCCGGGTCTTCTTCTCTGGAGATGTTGCTGCGAAGTTAGCAACACATAAGGTGTTCTAAGTGGCCCCATCAGCTGAAGGTTATGGCTATGCTACGTGCTTCCATCAAGACATGTGGGGTCATCAGTTTTATTCAACTCCTTCTCTCTGCTCCAAGAGGAGCTTTCTGCCACACACCCCCAAGCCTCACTGGCTTTCTTCTCACCATGGATCACTTTGGTAGATCCTACCTCACCAAGGAGAACAGCACCAACACCAATGCCTAAAGATTCCATGCATGGCTCTCAGGGACTTCCAGCGGCTTCCATACACCAGGGAGAATGGATTCCTCAGAGTTTTGACTGCGGTAGGCTCCAAGGGAAGAGTGTAGGAATTGGCTGTATGCCTTAAGCTGGTTCCAGGCTGTTCAGTCCCCAATCACTCTCCTCACCTGTCCTCACCATTAATCCTAAAAAGTTACTCAAAGGGTTCGGTGAATGCCCCCTGTGGTACCCAAGATTAAATAACATGGAATTACTTAGTGAGAAGGTTGTTCTCTTTTCAAATTTATTTCAATCCTTCTGATTACCTATAGGGAAAAATCTGAGTTTGGCGCTAGAATGTCTTCAACACCTTCCTAATGCTTGCTTATCACACTTCTTTGCTGAGAGAGCAGGTCTCAGGTTCACAGCCTTAGGCAAGCAACCATATCCAGCCAGAATGTAATCATTTTTATTTTTTATTGAAGCTTTTAACTTTTAAAGCTAGCCCTCCAATATATTCATTGTAAACGATGCAGGTCTCTATTTTCAAAAGTGTTATTGCCTGTTTTGTATAAATGTTTTTAAGTTTAAAAATTACATTGATTTAGAGAGAAAAATATAAGTAAAGGATTGTGTAGACAGTATGGGGAGTTTCACAAAAACCATGAAGCTGGTGAACGAATGATTGAAGTTTGTGAAATGGTGCCCTAAGGAATCAGCTCCCTTTCCTCTTCTCAAAGGCATGAGGTCTCTTCAAGCCACATCCCTCCTCCTTCCCTCACCCTGTTCTCTGCTCCTCCAGCCATATCGCACTGCACTTCATCGTCACGTTCACTCTAAAAATAAACGTGGAGCCTCTTGGAGGTCTTTGACTACACCAATCGTGCATTCATTTTCTGGACGTAGCTCCCAGGAAAACTCTGCTTGGTTTAAGTTGTAAAATCCCTCAAATGTTTTAAGGGAAAAGAATAGGAAGTCTTTTTCAGAAAAAATTTCCTTCTACCATCCAAGCATGTTGCTTAGGAAATGGAAATAAAGAGGAAGCTGCAAACTTACCATTTGCAATGGGTGGAAGGAGAGGTTGGCCATGTAAGATTTAAAAGGTGCTAGAGAGGAAGAGTAACAGAAGAACTGTCTGGGGGGTCTACCCAGACAGGCTGTCTCCCCTTCTCATCCTTAGCCTCTTTTCATGGCGTCAAATGCACTCATGGATTTTCAGTTCATTTCTGTGACGCTACCTTCCCCTACCTTTTTCATGAGCGTGTTCTCTCTCTCTTTCTCCCTAGAGGTAGATAGATGATAGATAGATAGATAGATAGATAGATAGATAGATAGATAGATAGATAGACACACACACACACACAGAGATAGATAGATAGATAGATAGATAGATAGATAGATAGATAGATAGATAGATAGACAGGTAGATAGATAGATAGATAGATAGATAGATAGATAGATAGATAGATAGATAGACAGACAGATGGATAATTTCCATCTTGATGTCTCAAAGGCACCTCAAATTCACCGTATTCCAAAACACACTCCTTACTCTCCCCCACAACATTAATTCTCTTCTTATATTTCTTAATTTGTTCAACACTATTAACCATGACTCTGTAAGGAAACTAGAGTCCCCATTGCCTCATTTGTCTCCTTCACAACACACATCAACAATTCTCTCTGCTAAATCCAGCCCCTAAGCTTCATCTCCTCCGTCTCTGGTCAGTAAAGGCCTCATCATTTGTCACTTGAATGCTAACTGGTCTTTTTGCCATAGGCCCCTTTTGCCCCATCCCAAGTAATCCTCCACATGGATTGCTAAATTACCTGAAAAGTAGAATCTGACCATGTCACTCCTCTGTTAAACAATCTTGTCCTGGCTCCTGTTGTTTCCTTTAGCTAATTTTTCTAGGCCCTTTGAACGTGATATTAACCTTCTTACCTGCTGGGTCTCCATTTTCCCCCAGCCACAGGGAACTACTCGGCTGGTTTCAAATACCACGTGTTCTATCATGCCTTGGTGACTTTGCATAAGTTCCCTCACTTCCCGAAATACCTTTTCTGCCCTGCTTTGTCTGGAAATTTCCTACTCTTGCAGCTTGAAAGCCAGTTCCTCTGGATAACACTCCTTCCTGAGAAGGACCCCCATGGCCTGCACATTCCTGTGCTATGCCCTTTATCCTTTTACATTGTAATGCAGTGTTGATGAGTTTCTTTCCCTTGGCAAATGGCTAGTATTTCAAAGTCATGGGCCAGTGTCTAATGCACAGTTGGTGCTCAAATATTCTTGTCAAAGAAGGAATGGCCATACTGACTGGGGGAGGAATGAAAAGCAGTGGTGGGCTTGAGACAGCTATTTAGATTGTCCCAAAGTAAAGTCATTGTTACCGTTTGTGTGTACCCCTACCCTTAAGTGGGGAACTGGAGGGTCTTAATTAATCAAACGTTCTTATTAGGGAAGGAGGGCTTCTATGCAGCAGGTCCTCAGTAGATCTTTCCGAACTGAATCAAAC